AATACGATAGCTAAGCGGTTTTTTATTTAAGTGGCTAAGGTGGGGGCAAAAAATGTGGTTTGGAAGATCACTCCGGGGTTGGCAGAACCGGAGGGAGAAATAAATTCTTCGACAATCCAGACGAGTGCATTGTCGATTTAGTTTCAGACTATTGCTTTCGAAGTCGATGTTCGGGCTGAGTTACAAAAGGAGGCGGCATATGTGACCGCGGACTCGCAGTTTTTGGTAAACTAATATGAGGTCTCTACGTAACCGCTGGTAGCGTCCACGGAACACTCAGAGCATCTTTAGTTTTTCTTAGTACGGAAGGTGATGCAAATCTTTGAAATTTTTCGTTGCGCGACGTTGCGGGGTTTCGGGATCAGTGAAGCTACGTTTTAGGCAAGCTTGCCAAGTCTGGATAGCGTATTCGACGTGGGGACGCAAGTAGACATTGAGCATCAGAGAGATGATGGGTAAGTCCAAACTCCCGAGTGTCATAAGCAAGAAACCAACATGCTGGTTCCGTTCTCTTGAAGCGAAATCTGACTGTCTGGTGCAACCGAGGTCCTCTTGTACCAGCATAAAGAGGTCACGTTGATCAGTGGTGATCTTCAGATCATGTGGCCAAAGCCGGAAGATGCAGGTGTGTCGATAGTGGATGTGGACAATGCTGCACTCCTCCACATTTAATGGCAGCGCGTTCCTCACAGATCAATTCCAGGCCTTATCGAGATCGAGCTGGAGGAGTTCGGAGTCGTCTAATCCCTTGATCCTCCGCCAAACAACGTCACTCACGTATGACAAAAACTTCGAGGCGACAATTAATCAAAATTAATAACAGGCATGGCCCAAGTATCGAACCCTGTGGTACACCGCACTACACACGAATGCGGTCGGACAGAGATGCTCGAACTCTAACTTCCAGTTGCCATTCGCGGAGAAAGTTACCCATGCATCTCAATACTGGATCCCGGATGTCGTAGTGTTGGAGTTTGTGAAGCAGAATTCAATGATTCATAACAATGAATGCTTTCGAAAAGTCTAAGTAGATAACATGGGTTCCTGTATCCTCCTAGACTGTTTCGATCCAACTGTCGCGTGTTGTTAGCAGATTCGTGGTACGTTATTGGTGTCGACGAAATCCGTACTGCTCCGGCGCGAAGATGCCGTAGCTCTCCAGGTAACCCATCAGTGCGTCTGCAATGATCGCTTCCATGACTTTGGTGGGCACAAGGAGTAGAGCAACCGGGCGGTAAATGGTAGGCTCGGCCCGATTTCCTCCCTTGTGAACAGTAGTAGTAATAAGAATAGTAGTAGTAATAAGTAGTAGTAGTAGTAATAGTAGTAGTAATAAGACCGCGTATTATCTTTGATAGAACTATGTTCTCGTCTAGACAATGCTGAAAGATTGTAGCTAACGGTCCGGCTAAATGCATGGCTGCTACGTGCAGTGTTATCCACTCCAGGAGAGCTGTGCGTACGCAAGGATAGCATCTTTTCAGCAGCTGATCGAAAATCGATGATGGAGTGATGGAAGTAGGAATAGCGTTCGAGCCTTGTAGTCTGTGCCATTCGGTTAGAAAGATCTGTATGACTATCCAACCGGCAGGCTATCAAACGCTGGTTGTTTGTCGTAGTGGAGTATGCTCTCGCGGGAAGTAGACCGGACTCAGCTAGATGAGTTTTATAACCAACTCTCCGACCTTCTGCATAAAAAGCGCCGCACGGATATCGTGGTGCTCGCTGGGGACTTAAACGTACAGGTTGGTAGGCTCGATGCTGACGAACGCGGTCTCAGTGGTCTGCATGGCTATGGTACTCGAAGGACGGATAGCGAACGTTTTCTATGGCTCTGTGCTGAACACTGTCTATTCCTTTAGAGTACAAAGTCCCGGCGCTTCTGACGCCAGCGCGTCACCTGGCGACCTCTGCCTAGACAGCCTTGGACGCAGAATGACCAGATCGCCATCAGCCACAATAGACGAAGCTGTATAACGGACTGCAAACCAATCTGTATTGCTTTTCTCATGTCTGACCACGTACTTGTGTGTGCATGTGTGAAATGACCATCTCCATTCAGGAGATTTTGGTCGCAGAAATCAACCCATCAGATTGAGGCTTAGCTGAAATCGTGCCAATCATCAAAAGAGGTGACCGAATGGATTGAGCAAATTACGGAGGGATCAGCGTTCTATGCGTTGCGCCCAAAACGCTAATCTCCCTGGCTTTACAGGTGCACAGTCGAGTACTTGAATAGCATATACGTGAAGAACAGGCTGAGTTTCGCCCAGGCCAGGACGGTACTGATCACATCATTACGATCAGTCAAACGATCGAGCACCGTCGAGTATTCAGCCGGCCTACCACCGCTTGCTTCCTGGAGGTGCAGCATGTGACTAAGTTGACGGAGCTGCTTTCCGGAGTTGTCTGTGAGAAGATGAGATATTCATCAGCAACCACTTCGTAAGCTGCACGGTGTTTGGCACGGTTCGAATTCTGTCGGTGGATCAGTATCATAGGTGCTACAGGATGTGTTTCGGTTGCTGCAATTAAGAGCAGCGTTGGAACTGGGCGCTATTCGATCGACCGTACTGACGGATTGTCTTAGGGTGCTCAACAGAGCTAGTACTAAAATGCTGCAAGAACGACCGCCACCTACTTTTGGTTTTGTAGTAGGGGTTGGAGTGGACGAATGTCGCACGATACACAAGATCGTTACCTCAGACCAAGTAATTTCTGCGGTTATTTAAAGTTCAGTTGCAACCACTAAGTTGTGGCAGTTTTTCGTTAGCCGTACGACACACTGTACGAGTGGAAAAGTCATGCATGCGATGTAGAATCGAAGTGCTCCTACTAAATTGTTGGACTGCCTTGCTTCAGCTGATGATAACTTAGCACATTTCGGATGGAGACACCTGAAGCAATGAGGGTAGGTCAGTCCAGCTTTAACCGGATTACCGCATTTCGAAGATCTACCAATGCAGCTAGGTTGAATTGTATTTGCTTTGTTGAGGACTCGCGGTAAGACAGTTTGCCAGTTGCCTGGGTTCTCACCGATCGTCGACTTTTAATAGTTTCCCTTGAAGTCAAGTTTGTAAGCGCGATTATGAGCCCTTGTCAGATGCACTATTGTAGTCTCATGTAGCAAGATCACACGATGGATTAGAAGCGAAATTGACTAGGTCCAGTGATCGCGGAGGTTCTGCTTAGTAGTGATAGGAAAATACTAGGAGTGAAGAGACGCAAATTGTGCTGTAGCTGCGCCATGTCGTGATGAACCGGAAAAGAGGGGGATTTGCTCGGATACCATGAAAATGCTCCGTATAAAGGGGATAAAGATAAAGTTGGTGCCCAGAACAGAGTTGTGCGCGAGTATCAGTAAAACACACTCCAAAAACTTACGAACCTGAACAAAAGCCAGGTGTACGATTAATTATTTTTTTTACAAATAAAGACTACACATGATGTAGCTTGTCGGTTTAAGACGATTAAATATAAATACGTTGTTGTAGAACGAAACGTAACGGTAATCCGAAAAAAGCGAGAAGTCCAAAAAATTTAACCACCGCATAGTGATGACCATGCCAAGAAAAGATGGTTGAAAACCTGTGCATAAAGAAAGACCACATACGTTCTATCGGAAGTGGCCTTTGAGTATCTGTACAAAGAAGCTAACAAACAGTCCAAAATGTGGATAGTGGGGTGAAAAACTTGGAGGCAGTTCTTGTGAAAGAATTGTTGGATAAATTGAAGCAGTGAATCTGAAAATCCAGTCTGGCGGATCGGGATGCAATAAGATCGAAATTGTAAGCTCCAGATCATCAAGGAAGCCAGTGATGTATCCAAGTTAGTGTATTACCTTTGACACTAGTGCGCCCCCTTGAATATACAAACCAAATTACTTTCTGAGGATGATCCACCATATGCAGTGTTATTACCACAGAAATACACAACTCGAATGCAGCGCTTAGGAAGCATATATTCCAGGCCAAATTAGTCCATGAAATACTACATTAGTGGAGTACGCCAACACAGATAAAAATGATCAAGTGTCATACAATGTTTGAGATCCGCTTCTACCTGACACACTGGGTGTGAATGTATACCGCGCGAACGGTGGTAATGTGAACATTTTCTAATACCAGTAACTGAGATCCCAACTCCAGCAGGTCGCTGATCGCCTACGGACTTGAAGGGAGGAATGAGCTCGTAGAAACTAGCATTCAATGAACAATCCCGTCGTGGGGCGACATGCGAGCTAGTTAAAGTCGCGCGCACCGAAGTTACGTATTTTCTTCAACTTCATCTAAAGTATAGGCTGGAAAGTATCGATGCATCAGGTAATAAATTCCCAGGTGTGCGTGCATCCAAACACTCGTTTGTCCCATGGAGTTCGTGTACACAAATTTGAGTACCAATGGATGACAAGTACTAGGGTGACGAGTGTGCGTCAGTCCCAAAACACCAGCAGTCCTCTTGCGCATACCCCAGTATCCATTCAACAGGAAGCGGTATGTGTGAGCTAAGTCATAAGTGGACCGTTGTGATCCACACGAAGTCTGGATGTAAGCGTAGGCTTCCTGTTTGCATTCAGCACAACAGGTAACTTCGCCAACAATGCTAACAAAATACGATCAAAAGCGTCCAAGTAGCTAAGAATTCGCTTGGTTATTGCAGTTAGTAAGGCATATCGTAGTGAGAAAAAAACGACGACAATGAGGTGTCGCTGATTAACCAAGTCGCAACTCATGTGGAGAACCAATGATGTGGCAATATGAAGAGACAAAAGGGGCGAAACTTGGCTGCTTTTTTAAATAAATAAATAAATAAATAGTTTATTCTCGACTATGCGAGGCACGCCCATGGAGGTTTGATCAAGTGCGAAAGAGACTGAGAATAAAATCTGAACCACAAAAACGAGCAACCAATAGTTTATAATAAAGGGGAAAAAGACGGGGAGTTACGTTGGAAAGTAGGTGATCTTGGGCTAAGTCAGAAACAAGTAAGATAAAACTTACCTTTGAAAATGCTGAACTTTAGAGCCCGGATAGATTTCCATATAATCAAAAAGTACGTCCCAATTTAGTAGTCTCAGCATGTTTCGCGCGATGTCAATTGCCGCAGTGCTAGAAGGGTAAGAGAAGTTCACCGGTAAAAACCTGGAAACAACTGATAGTTGCAACACTTTGTGCGGCCGAGCACAACCATCGACTAGTGCAAATTCGGATGAAGCGTCGGGCTCCGCTGCTGGATCCACAGTCAATGTGTAGAAGAATGTGCGGTCGGCCAACAAAGATAAGTCAATAACAATGCAACGTAAATCTAATCGAGTTAGAAAGGCCTTGGAGGTCGGAAATTGCTCAGTGTGAGCTGCGTTTCAGCTAAATGTGACCGGGTGGCAATCTCACAGTGCCTGTTCCATTGAATGTACCCGTAATTGAAAGCGCCGATGAAAAAACACTCGTAAATAGTGGGTTCTGATCCCGCTTAAACATTCAATCGTGCGTGTATGTCAAATCGAAAGTAAGTAGGGTCCGATCACAAGAGGGCCGCCTGAGGTAGAAGTAGAAAATGCAGCCGACGAAGCTCTCTTTCATCACATAATGACTCAGGGAAAGTAGTCCCTGTGCAGCGCACTTTGACGACATAATTCGCGTGGTCCAACTGAATGTAGTAGATCAGTTAAGGACAAATGTGAACACGATCGGACTTTGCAGGAAGGCATGAAGTTCGTGGAATCTGCTCACATTAGGAAGCCCAAAAGACATCTAGTTTGGAGATGACATGAGAAACGGATAAATGAAACATATGTTAGTAGGTAGGTAGACGAGTTGTACATGTATTTCTACAGCGTACCGTGGTATACAAGCATATAGCTTACACACTCGATTTATCACGGTACGCAGAATTCAAACAGCCATATGACTGTTGGTCACATGACTCAGAAGAGTGACCACAATGTGCACATATAGAATAGTCACAGTTCTTCAACGTAGGCCGAATTAGATTAAAAAAGCAGTTGACACATAGATCACTTGTGAACAGCGCTCAAGAGCTCTGTCTCACTTATCCTTCTCATGTTGTTCAATGCTTATGTGTGCCCGTAATTCGAATACGGAATCCAAGCTCAGTCACACTAACAGAAATACAGTCTTGCTGTACCAGAGGTTTCAGAAAATCCGGTAGCAGTGTCAAACAATTGGATAACCTTTCATACTAGTAGAGGTGGAAGCTACTCATCGTGTTCAGTGGACGTTTCAGACGGCTACTAAGTAAGCACGAATGACTAAGTCCTTTCAGGCTGTACCACATGGGAAGCTCTGCCAAATGACCGGTTGACAAACCTGGAGTACGCGGATGACATTGCTCTCCTTGGGTCTTACACAGTGGCTATGTAAGCGCCACTGGACAGACTGACGCCGCACGCTTCGGCATTTGTTCTGCACCAAAGTGCAAAGTACTGCTTCAGGATTGAATCGATACGTCACTGGTTCTAGTTATCAAAGAACAGCCACTGGAAGTGGTGAATGGGCTCACTTACCTTGGTAGCAGTATCACGTCTAGTGGTCACATCACTGAGCAAGTCACTTCAGTTATCATCAAAGCCCGTGTAGCTATACGGAGGATCAACGATATGTGAAAATGACGTGATATCTGCCTGTCACTGAAAGGCTGATGTTACTCTACGGCTCAGAGACCTAGCCAGTTCACAATGAAGGCAGTAAACGACTGGCTATGTTTGGTCACCGGTGATTGCGGAATATTTTTCACATCTGGTGGGAACAGCGCCTGAGTAATGCTGAGTCTGCCAGTTGGTTTTTGGAAAGAAGCCTTCTGTTGGCTCACTCGTGTTTGCTGAAGCTCAACCGCTTACGTTCGGTAGGTAGTCCGTATGCTTGCTGACCGCCTTCCTAGGTAGACATTATGCACTGTTGCTGCACTGAGTTAGGCGACAACGCGAGGTGGCCAGTCGATGACGTGGCATAAACGTATGGGAGAAAATGGGACTTGGTCAGACTGCTGAACGCCATCTTTGTGGATAGGTGCCCCGAGATGGTCCACAACAGTTGGTTGAGACCCTATAAGACATAGCGCAGTGGCGCAATCGGTGGCGTTCTTGCATTCGGTTTCCTCCATCTAGCAGTTAAGTTTCATTCCATTCTGATGAGTGTAACGTAGATTCCATTAGATTTCACTTTTTTACTATATGTTTACATACAACCACATTTTCTTGTCGTTATTAATTATCGCTATTCTGGTGATGTGTGTCGTGACAACTAGATCCACCGCATTTCGGTGCCGACATAATAGTTGTTCAAATGATGTGTACTGTACCCGGTGTTGAGTGACCCTACTCATGTATGCCATCACCCCATGATATTCAGCTGAACTCTTAGTAGTGGCAGGGCATTTGGAATGCGTTTCGCACCATCAAAGCGCAAAGTGTTGTCGAATGATCACCAGCCACTTGATGATTTCTAGACTCTTGAATACAGATCTAGAAGTAATTAATCAATTCACCTCCCACTGCGGCCGCGTCAGCAGCGATGGACACCTGGATGTGAAAATCAGAACCGCGTTCTACGGCCTGAGAACGTGGTTCTATTCGGCTTAAAGGGCTATGTACACGAGACCACAGTGACAGCCGTTACTGTGAGAGTTGGCCCCTACAGTCTGACGATATGAAACACCTACAAATTTCAAGCATTGCTGTCTGTGAAGCATTGTTAATGTTGTATGCCACCGACGATTCCGCGACGATTATGTGCATAGGCAGGTGTTAGGAAGTAATAAACAGGCGAGATCCTTGAGATCAAAGATAGCACTGAATAAGCTGTGTTGGCATGGGTACGTAGTACGTATGACCGGATACTATTTAACAAGGAAGTCCTTATTTAGTTTGCCGGATGTAGAGTAGCGTAAGGCCTGGAACGCAGGAAACGTGTCCCTTTGAAGTACATCCTTGTGACCCAATCTAGCTGAAATTATCAACCACCCGGAGATGTAGGGAATGGAGCGTAAGCGAGTGGACATCTCAGTGTGCTGACAGATGACGTTAACTATAATCACCTCGAAGCCATATGGCACGCTTCCATGTTACTCTCAACTGCTATCTATCGGGACAAGTTAAAAGTGTACTTCTCCAGCCGTAGTAACTTAATACGACAGATGTTAAAGAGAAAAGAAAATAGTCAAATGTTCAATCAAAATAATACGGTCATTCGTTGAACTATGTCCTGGGGACCTGATTCCATAGGGGGTAGTTCCCCGAAAGGTTTCACCCACACTTCCCCACACATCTGACAATGCGCCGGTGTGGTTTAAAAGCACGCAAGCCACTACCGCTCCGATTCATCTCTCAGGTAATATTTTACGCGATTAGGTTGGGCACTTCAGCTCAATCTGACAGCGTCTCTGTGTGGTATGAAATCAAACAGGCCATCACCGCTTTAACTCATTTTTTATATACAATTAGGGTAACCACTTCGGCCGACATCTTGATCTCTAAGGCATTGAGACCCGTGAAAAGTGCTAGTCACGGCGGACAAATCAGGAAACAAAATAAAACAGCAGATAGTCAGAGCATAACATGTAACAAGCTTACCGCGAAGCACATGCCAGCAGTATGTCCGGATGCTCGTGAACAGCACTGGAATCAAAACAACAGAGGTTCAGCTAGAGCCGGTGAGCTCACCGGAGAATAGCGTCTGAATCCGGATAGGTGACATAGCGGCTGCCGTCACTGCCGTAAACGAAACCATGCCTGAGACGACTGATGAAATGGGGATGCACTTGCTTACTCTCGTCGAAGTGGAGTCGAAAAATGAGTGTCACACCAATAGGGCCACAGGGTGTAATCTACAAATGACCAAGTGGTAGTTAGTGTTGCTCACCTAAATCAAAGACAATCAGTCCAGGAAGCCGTGTCAGACCATTCAGCAAGACTCGTGATGTCATGGTCCTTCAAAAAACAGGGAGTTGAAAGTGATGGCAGGATACAGTAAAGGTAATTTCAATGGATATACAGCATTTCCCCGGATAGGAGACATTGACAAAGTGGGGGGGGGAGTAAAGAAATGTGGCAATGAGAGATAATTTTAGACCTTCTCACCCAATCAAGTGGGACAGTAAGGGGGTGGCACTAAGGTAAGCGGGGATGCCGAAGGCATTTCGGTTCGGGTCAAATTGTGATGCACGACAATTATAAGTGGTGGTAATCGAAGAAATTATTCAACTAAATCATGTAGGGCATCAAACGAACCTAAAAACGAGCAAGTGAGAACTTGTAGAGGTAGCGGATTACATGAATGGACAACAGAGTTGACCAGGTGTACCCTAGATGTAACCCACCAAAATCACTTACTTGGCAGCAAGCAAAGCTACGCACTCACTCAGCGACTTTGTGCAGATAACTGCAGAATGAAATCCGAAGACTTGATAAATTGCCTAAATGATCATTTCGCTGCAATAAGTTACAGAAAACCTCATGTGTTTGATGATAATATAAAGATTTTGTGTGTCAACTAGTCCCAACACTTGTCCCTTATTCCAGAAATCCAAAATGACCAAGTCTCACTGGAAGGATTGTGTGTCGGATCCTCCATGAACTTACAACATCTAAGTGTAGCATCATGTGCTGCTTCTGCATGATATTCCACTCTCTTCAGATGATGCTACTTGACTTAGGAATCCGGCAGCTAAACTTCTAGGGATAAGCTAAGGAAGCACGGACTACAACGTTACAACCCTCTAGGATAATCAGCCGCCTGTTTATAACAAGCGAAACCAAACTCTTGTCGTTTAAATGATATGCCAGACCACCATTGAAATATGTGCAACTACTTGCAAGTAGTTTTACAAAATGTGACCAGTGCGCAATTCACAAATCACTTACGAAAACCTGAGGGATGAACTCAACCGTTTCTTATAAAGACAGATGTTATCTGTTAAAAATCCAAGTGCTACGGTTCCGAAGATCAAATCTGAATCTACGTCTGTGTTACAAAATCGCCCAGCAACAAACATATATCAGTTACTACCATCCGGCGTTCCAAGAAAAAAACAACGACTATGCGACAAAGCATACGTTTAAATTGCCCATGTTATGGAACCAATTAAGTTGTCAGAAATTCATCTTCGTTTCGGACATTAAAGATGCAGTTAGAGGAGTGCTTAGCTGTTAAGAATATTTAAGGACTGGCTTGATAAGATCTACACACTTGCGGGACTAACAAGGTATCAGTTGCGCTGGGTCGATGTCACCTGGTTGATAATATACCCATTACTAATAGTATTTCTACTATTAATATTATCATTATTGCTATAAGGTAGAAGAAAGTTGGAGTTAGGAAAAAATTGAGCAGTCATTACTGATTACTGAATACTGGTTGGAAGCAGCAAGTAGAGATTTCTCTGTGTAGCTGCATCTAACGTCACTCAGGGACAAAGACCCATTATGTTGTGGTGTGCTCGATATATTTTATGTCGGCAGTGTTTGTCCAGATGTTAATAAAAATTCCGACACCAACTTTGCCTCAACTACGTGCTGCGGCATCTCGTTCCATACATTCACTACTCTGCGTTCGAAAAAGAGTTGGTGAGCGACCCGCTTCAAAGCCGGTACGACAAGCTTGTACCGGTGTCCTCGTGTGCTGGTTGGTGTGTGCAGATGAAGCAGCGGCCTCAACATGGGCTAATCTCCCAGATGTAATATCCGATGCGTCATGATGAGGTCAACCCTCAGTTGACGATAAGCTAGGGTGTACAGCCCTAGTTTCGTACACCGGTCTTCGTACGGCACACCTCGTAAGTTGGGAATCAGCCTGGTGGCTACATGCTGCACTCGCTCAATCTTTTCTACCTCGCCCCGGGTGATAGCACAATACGCGGGAGAGCCATACTCTAGCATTGGTCGTAGTATTGCGACGAAGAGGCGAGTGGCAATCTCTTCGGACCAAGTGCTGAAGCTGCGCATGAGCGCCCAAAGCATACCAAGACTGTTTTGCTAAAGCCTATTCGTGTTGTCCATGGACTTTAGGTCGTAGCGTGAGACCATACCGAGATCTCGCACGAAAGGCGCGGGATGCAACGGTTGACCGGCCACTGTGTAGGTTCGACTGTACTCACATTTACCCAGCCTCATGTATTGCGACTTGATCGGGTTGATCGGAAGGTTGACCTCTGCAGACCACGTGATGAAGCGGTCGAGGTCTTGCTGAAGCAGCTCACAAGCATTGGGTGTGCGGATTACTCTCCACACCTTTAAGTCGTCTGCGAACAGCGCACAAGGTGATTGGAGTAGCTGAGACACATCGTTTACATATATTAGAAACAAAACCGGCCTCAGTACAGTGCCTTGCGGCACGCCACTGCTCGATGGATACCAGTCGGTCGAATAGTTGTCCACTTGGACCCTCCAGTTTCGATCAACAAGGAAATTCTTGATCCATTGATGCAGTGAGCCGCTAAAACCGCACACCCTCAGCTTGTCGAGGAGCACTGCATGATTTACCTTGTCAAAAGCCTTACTGAAGTCAATGTAAATGACGTCGACCGATTTGCGTTGGTTCAGCGCTTGTAACCATTCGTGTCTTGTCAACAGTAGGTTGGTGATGCACTAGCGATCTTTCAAGAAACCATGCTGTGTGGGCGTCAAGAGGCCTTTCGACTCGAGAAGCTGCATAAGACTCTTCTTCACGATCTTCTCGAGCGTCTTTGCCAAAACAGCAGCCAGGCAGATCGGCCGGTAGTTATCTACTTTGCTTGGGTTATCACCTTTCGGTTATTGGCTTTATGACTGAGCATTTCCAGTCGTCCGGTAATAGTCCAGTGGATAGTGACCTGTTGTACAGCTCAGTTACAGAAGGTAAGATGATGGCCGGTAGATAAAGCAAATCAATGCAACAGATGGATAGACAACTCAGGAATGTTTTGAACATGTGTGAATGGGGCGGGATAGAAAGAGAAACAAAGAGGTAATTCATTCATTTGAAAAGTGTTGGGCAATAAGCAGGCGATAAACGATGAAACGGAAGTGGAACACGAACAGGAACAAAGGAAAAAGAAACCAATGTCTGACCGATGTGATTTTTCGTGAGGCCTAAATCAATTCATCATTCATGAGCGGAAGCATTGTATGAGCGTCTGACAGCAGTTTTGATTGTCAGTACTTTCTGAGCGGCTCATGAGGATAGACAAAAAGGTACCACCCATATGATGTGCAGGAATACGAGCTGACATGCTAAAACGAAATAACCCTAGTCGTTGTCCGTATAGACTAGAGACAAATAACGTGGTCGAATAAAAAAGGAAAATAACGAAAAAACAAGTGCGTAACGTCATGTTAGCGGGAAGAGCGGAGCAATGTACAGGTGAAGTCTAAGTTCGGTAACCAGTGAAATGAGAAGTATTCAACTTCATTAATAGTGAAGGTGTAAATGAGCAAACTCTAAACGATAGACAAGTAAGTCCTGACCAAATGCCGCTTCCAGTGTTGAATTATATTGATCCCCGCCAGTATGCTATTTGAACTTCTAGCCTACAAAGATGGAGAGAAACTCTCCCTTCCATTCAGGGTGATCAGCAATGGAGAACTATCCAAGTAAAAGTGGTGGTTATGTTACGACTCGCTACGATAAAAGACACCTAACCAACCGAGTCGACTGTAAGGGAAAATGTAACCAAAACAGAAATAGGCAGAGCATTTGGCAAAACTAGTAAGTTTCAGATTCAGAAAATTGACCATGTAGCGGGTCAAATTAAAACTGCCGGCATGCAGTTCTTTGCTCCGGCTGCTTACATGCCACACGTTCAAGTGGCCATTCGAACACGGGAGAGTCACAGTTCACGCCCGTTAGTAACCGTTGTCCAGATAATCACTCTAGGCACAGAATAGCCCATAGGTACCCCAATCATTCACGCTGATGATCGTAGGGAAGTAGTCAGAAGTCTTTTCGTTCCCTTCGCTTCTGCGGGTTAACACAATCTTCGCACCAGTGGATTGTCGATATAAAGCGGTCATTGCTTTTAACAAAAGTATGTGTGCGAACCTAAGTACGTTAGCATGAAAGCGGCAAGATATCATGTACTTCGTATGCGCGGCCATTCCATCGCAGTATCAGCCGAAACATGCATCTGCGAGATATCTGTTTCCTGAAACCATGTTTTAATAACTGTGTAGAAAGTGGCTCACCGTCTGCGAACACGATTGACTGTGTGGTTTGCGTTGGTGCATCGCGTGTAACCACGCACGTATCGTCTTAGGAACGGGATGCAGGTCGACTGCAAATAGTGCCAACACTGAAATCGTATGCGGTAAATCTCATCCCGAAAATAGTACACAGCTCGTGACCAGAGCGTTTAGATAAAATTTATAAATTGTAAATGCTTTTCCGGCACTTAAATAGTTCATAAAATTGACCACTGATTTGGAAAGTGCTTTCTTCCATCTGGGTACGCCCTACGTCACTGAAGGTGATAGGCGGTATCGAACGAAGCCACTTACTGGACTCCAAAAACCATATCGGTCAACGGCATGAACAAAATGGGTGGATTTAGGGAATGGAACGAATGCTTGTGACGGCTGAGTCCAAACAGTCAAGTGGAAACACTTATGTGAAGCAAAAGTGTGGATTGAGTGCACTTATTCATCTGTTTAGCGGAGTGGTGGTTACTGAAATGTCTGTGGAACGCTGAGCATGTGCAGAAGAAGGTTCACGTAACTAACTCCTTTACTGTAAGGTTTCGAAACTGCTCTCTCCACGACCCAAAAATAAGTCCCTCTCTAAGTACCAGTCCAATCCTCTGAGCGAAGCTGTGGATATAAAAATGCGGTGGTCCAGTTTATCGGAACGGTCGTCATCCGCCAGAGGTTATAGTGCTCTGGTTGGCGCTCCAATTCCAGCGGAAAAGCAGAGGGCTAAGTGACTAAGTACTTTCGGGTGAGCGGAAGAAAGCCCTTATG